CTCGGAGCCCCTGGGTGTCCATGCCCTGTGTGTTGGGCTCCATCTGGGCAGGGCAGCCTGCCCAGGTTCTCAGTGGCCCTCTTTTCCATCAGAGCCTCCTTCTGGAATGTGACAAACACAAAAACAAGACCGTGGCAGAGGCCAAAGTGGAATTCCTGAAGTGGATCTGCCGCTGGCCTACCTTTGGGTCTGCCTTCTTTGAGGTGAAGGTAGGCTTTAATCCATGCCCAGCTCCTGCCCCTAAGCAGGCCCCATTCAGTTGAGCCCTCAGTGTCTGTGACCCCAGTGTGTGTGTTCTAACTGCAGAAAAAATGCCCCCCGGGGGGGGGGCTGAGGAGATGTCTGGATTGAGAAAGTGCTTGCCTTGCAAGCATAAGGACCTGAGTTTGAACCTCAGAACTCATGTGGAAACACAGTAACAAAGCTGGCTATAGTGTTGCCTGCTAGTAATGCTAGTGTTAGGGGGATGGAGATTGACTGCCAGCCAGCCTAGCCTATTTGGTGAGCTCCAGGACTGTGAGAGACTTTGTTTCAAAAATACATCGATACATGCAATACTTTCATACATATATACTTAATACATGCAACCCGTGAGATTGCTCTGTGGGCTAAGGCACTTGAACCCAAGTCTGATGACCTGAGTTCAAGCCTTAGGACCCACATTGGCTCCTGCACTTGTCCACTGACCTCTACTCATTCATTCTATGTACACACACACACACAATAAATCCGTGTTTGACAAACAAAGGCGATTGGCACCTGAAGAATGACACCCAAGATTGAATTCCAACCTCTACACACCCTGTATATACATGGACACACATACAGATAGGAAGTAATTCCCTGACCCCCCTGGGCTTGTCTATAATCATTGTGTCTCTCCCTCCTCAGCAAACCTCTGAGCCTTCCTACCCAGACATTCTCCTCATCGCCATCAACAGACACGGGTTGCTACTCATCCACCCCAAGACCAAGGTAGAGCATCAGGGGCTGTGCAGGCAGCACAGCAGTCATCCAGTCTAGGGTGGACGTCTTTCTTCCTGTTTGTCCCTCCCCTGCAGCTAGCCTCCTGCCAATTGCCTCTCTGTCCACAGGAACTGCTGAACACCTACACTTTCACCAAGATCTCCAGCTGGAGTAGTGGCAGCACTTTCTTCCACATGGCATTGGGGAGCCTGGGCCAGGGCAGCCGTTTGCTGTGTGAGACCTCTCTGGTGAGCACAGGCCCCCATCTCCCACCCCTCCACAGCATCCAGAGATGCTGGGGTGTTTTCATTACTCACTTCCACATGGAAGTTGCTCACTTTGAGAGGCTGCTTGCCCGGGACCAGGCTAAGCCAGCCAAGGCCTGTCAGGAAGTTAGACACTTCCCCAAGGCTGGCAGCCAGTGGTCATGTCCAAAGACAAAGATGATTCTGGGCCATGCCAGCCCATTCTGGGGAGAGGGAGAGTCCCCCATTCTGGGGACTCAGGTCCACTAGAACAAGCAGCAGCAAAGCCAAGGAGGGAGTTTGCTTTCCTCCTTCAGTTCTACCATGTGGCCTCAGGGCTCTCTCTGCACCCACAGCCTCTGACCCCACCCTGTCCTGCCTAGGGTTACAAGATGGATGACCTGCTGACTTCGTATGTACAGCAGATCATGAATGCAGTGAACAAACAGCGTGGCTTCAGGGCTCCAGCCCTGGCCAACCCCTAACAGGTCCCATCTGCACTCAGCCTTCCATGCCCGGCTTCCATCCTCTTCTCAGCACACCAGAGGCCAGCGAAGGTCTCAAGCCTCCTGGAAGATGATGAGTAACTCCCCTGAGTTCATACTAGGAGGGAGTGTGTGTCTCTGAGGGGAGGGGTGGGTGCCAGGCGGGCAGCCTCCAGTCTGGGAAGCTCTCCACCTACCAGAGGGTCTCATCCAGATAAAGCAAAGGGCACTGTGACTTTCCCCAAAGCCAGGTGACAACCATATTCTCCGGGAGTGACTTCATTTGCCCTTCTCCCTCCCCTCCCTCTGCCACCTCTCTCTTCTCTCTTGTCCTCAGAGGGTGTCCCTGGAGACCCTGCTTCCTGGGCCCTCTGCACCAGGATGCCTGCTGGGCTCCCAGGAGGGCCTGGTAGAAAGGACATGTCCGTGGCAGTGAACAGGGCTTTGGAGACCTTTCCATCTGATAGGCCTTGAGGGATACACCACCACCATCATACACTTACCAAGCCAGCCCACATGGCCACTGACACCTAGGCCTGAGGGGTCCTGGCTGATTTTTGTCTATAAATCCTGGTGGCAGCCAACCTGGGAAACCTGAAACTCTCTGGGCTGCCTGTCTGGGGGTGTCTCTTGAGTGTTGATCATTCCCAGCAAGGATAGCTAGCTCTACAGCACCATCCTCCTCCATCCCTTCCACAAACCACACCAGCACTCCCAGTGTGTGAATCAACCTTCATTGTGCAAGCATGTAACCACTGCAGGTCTGAGCTGGCTGGGGCAATGTGCCCCCACCCCCAGGAAGTGGGACTCCAGCTTTGGTGGGCAGCTGAGAGGCTTTCTGCAAACTCTCCTGAGTAGTAAAGGCAATGGGAATCTCAGCCCTCCAGCTGGCTCACCCCGGAGGTGGCTGGATTTGCTGATGCAGTGTAAGCATAGGGACCTATTAGGGCTGAGCAACTGAAGGATTCCCTCTCTACCAGAAGCCTTCATCTGCATGGTGCTGGCTCTGGGGCCGGGACAGATTCCCAGTCAAGCCCAAGGGTCTCTGAGACTGAAACTTTCCCAGAAGAGTGGAATGGACAGGTGTCAGGCTGGGATCTGTGGGCCAAGCAAATGGCAAATAATCCTAGCCCATTTGCTCCTGTCCCTGGAGATTGTAGACACAGGAAGAAATGCTGACAAGGCTGGGCCAGGTCTCAGTGTAGAAGAGAGTACTATGTAGCCCAAGGTAGACTGGGAACAGAAAGGGTGACATTACCAGAGGGAGGGACCTGGGATGGAGCAGAAGTGGGAGGCAGCCAGCAGGAATTGGGGCGGGACGGTGAGGGCAAAGGTCCTGCAGGCAGGCACATGGAGGCCAAGGCCCTTCAGACTGAGTTGATGTCCACAGACTTGGGCTGGGCCTTGCGTGAGGTCATGTCTGACAGCTTCTTCAGCCTCTTCTTCAGCTCCAGGGGGAACCTTTCATAGCACCTCTTACACACAGGCTTCATATCGAACTCCACAAACTTGTTCCTGCAGACAGAGCCCCAGTAGTCTATGCCCTACCAACCCTGACTCCAAACAGGAGCCCAGAGGCAGAGAAGCAAGTTTCCCTCAGCTGCCAACCCTCTGCCCTCCTACCCAGCCTGCCACAGCCAGCAGACCAGGCTCCAGGGTAAGATGCTGGCCAAAGGGCACTGGGGAAGAAGAGACAAGTCTCTATTCTCCCTTCCCACATAGAGGTGTCTCTCCAGAACCCTCTAGGGTTCTCTGCTGCTCTTAGAAGCTTGAGCCCCACCCCACCTCACAGTTCAGGTCACCCCATACCCTTACAGTCTTCAGGAGAGAGCCAGCCACCTGACAGTTTGCCTTTACATACACTGTTCCCTGAGCCAGAATGTCCTTCCCCCAAAGCCCATGTTCTTGTAAGTGTGTAACTGCCTCCTTCATCCTTCCCTGGGGTCCCTGGGCTCCCTCATCTGCCCAGCTGGCTCCTGCCACACACATGCCCAGGGCATGCCTGTGGCTGGAGTTCAGGGAAAGCAGGCTGGAAAGTCGGGGTTACAGGGTGCCCACCCATCACTCACTTCAGAGTGAGCTTCATGTTGCAGGTGGAACAGGAGAAGCAGTTCACGCACCAGGCTTTGCTGAGGGCTGACACCACTGTGAGGCCAGATGTGGGGTTAGCAAGCCCCACCCAGGCCAGCTGCAGGCCCAACTATGCACAGGCAGAGCCAGATGGACCTGCAGCTGCGTGACAACCTTCCCTCCAACCACCACCACCACCATGCTCCAACCTACAACCTCTCCCACCCACCACCACCCCACCAGCCCTCCACCACCAGGAGAACAGGCTGGTTGGGAAAAAGCAAGATGGGGGGGTTGGGGACAGAGGCCTCACCATCACCCTCAATCACATGACTGCAGTTGTAGCAGACATCCCCAAAGAGCTGTGGACAAAGCAAGCCATCAGTTCAGCCCATAGACATAACAACCCCCTGAGTCATTTCTGGGGACATTGAGCCCACTAGAAGCACTCCTTGGGAAGAGCCACAAGTTGAGACACTGTCCCCCAAGGCCCCCATTGCTCCCCACTGATGTATCCTACTGAAGTCCTCCTGCAAGAATGAGGGCCAGGGTGGGGCCTCATTCCATTAGACTCTGGGGCCACAATGGCATTCTATCAAATGAAGACACTGTGAGGACAACTGCTTACATCTCTTACACATGGGCTTCAAGACTAAGCCAGAACCCAGTGCCTGAGCACACAATCCTGGCTTCTTGTGCATATAATGGGCTTTCAGGAGCCTACAGCACCTGGGCAAACTCAAAGACCCTAGGAAGCATCTTGCTGTGCTTTTCATCATGTGGGGACACATTGTCCCCCAAAGACAGGGCAGCAGAACCCATAACCTTTCCCAGGACCTTCTCCAGCAGGTCACCCAAGCACCACTTCTGCACATGGAGATGTCTGAACACAGCCCCAGCCCTGCTCTCTCAAGGTCCTGACCACCCTCCAGCCCCAGGTCCTGTGGCTTCTGACCACCCTCCAGCCCTGGATCCTGCAGCCCTCGACCATACTCCAGCCCTGTGTCTTTTCAGGATCCATCCCAGACCATACCTGGTTGTAGTGGGTCTCGCAGTAGGCTAGGCCTTTCTTCTCATAATGCCGGTGCCCCAGGAACGGCTTCTCACACTTGGCACAGACAAAGTGCTGAAAGAAAGAGTGAGTGGCTGGGCCACAGCAGGGCTGCCCCAGGGACCCCCAGAAGACAAAGAAAGGGGACAAGGCTCACAGCTGGGCAGAACTGACACCAGGGTGGATGCTGTAGGAACCAGCTGCCCCTTCTGTTTTTACTTTTCTCAAGGCAGGGTCTCAAGTAGCCTGGGATGTTTTCAAACTCACTGGGTAGTCAAGGATGAAATTGAACTTCTGATCCTCCCAAGTGGTAGGATTACAGGCATGCTCTACCATGCCTGCCTTGATACAATACTGAAGACTCAACTCAGGTCTTTGTGTGCATAATATAAGCACTCTACCAGCTGAGCTGCATTGCCAGCCCTCCTCCTCGTCCTTGAACATATCACAATGTTATCCTTTGTCACTGGGATCCTGCTTAGCAAGCAGATTGTAAGCCAACATAGGTGGAGCTGCCCTGATATTAATAGGTGCCTCCTGTGCCACATATACCTCCGACACAAACACACACACACACACACACACACACACACACACACACACACACACACATGCCTGGAGAGTCTAAGGACAACCTGCCATCCTTTTGAGCATGTGAGGACCCACAATACACCACACAGGGCTGCACATTCCATAGACTTTGCTAAAAGGCCACCCAAGCACTGTGTATGGACA